AACCCTATAGAAAATCTTTGGAGGGAGTTGAAAGTCTGTGTTGCCCAGCGACAGCCCCAAAACATCACTGCTCTAGAGGAGATCTGTATGGAGGAATGGGCCAAAATACCAGCAACAGTGTGTGAAAACCTTGTAAAGACTTACAGAAAACGTTTGACCTCTGTCATTGCCAACAAAGGGTATATAACAAAGTATTGAGATGAACTTTTGTTATTGACCAAATACTTATTTTCCACCATAATTTGCAAATAAATTCTTTAAAAATCAGACAATGTGATTTTCTGGATTTCTATTTCTCATTTTGTCTCTCATAGTTGAGGTATACCTAGGATGAAAATTACAGACCTCTCATCTTTTTAAGTGGGAGAGCTTGCACAATTGGTGGCTGACTAAATACTTTTTTGCCCCACTGTAAATAGTTGATATGCATTCCTGTCACTTCATTAAACCTCTTAATTGAACCTTGCTTTTGTGTCTTGTGTACTGTTTATGGGTGAGAAGAATATCTAAAATAAATGAAAAGAAGATTTTAATTTTCAGTTAATTGCAACTTTCAAATCTAATAATAAGTAATAAGTAAGGTGGCTAGAGATCTTTTTGATATTGTAAACAGAGGTTTTTTTTTTACAGATATTAACATGAACTCTTTTTTGATTTAATAGCACAGCCAAAATTAACTGAATGTAGAGAACATAACAGCTGTTACTTCATTTGAAATTAAAAAAGGTTTATTCTTATTTATTTTGTATGCACATAAGCTATGATTTAAAATTGCCATCATGTTGAAGAACATGTTCTGTAGCATCAGCACAGCAGACCCTCTCAGCTGCCATAGTGGCCACTAGGTGGCAGTAGATCCAAAGTGTTGAAGCGTATTTAAACTGTGTTAGAAACCCGGCCTTCCTTTGTTGGACACTCAGGGCTTTGAACTGTGTGTTTTGGGCTCTAAAAGCTCCAGCTCCACTCAAGGGCTGACTGGCCCGTTTGATGCACCGACTTCAAACTGCTGAGAAGCACTTTCAGCCGTCATCTCACTTCATTCTGCTCTCTGATACGTGCTTCAGGCTCTCTGTTACAGAGCAGTGAAAACCCTCCTGTCAACAAAGACAAGCTTTTTGTTACTCTATGCTTACTTCTATAAAGAGTCCTTACAGCATCCTAAATTCAAAAAAATTCAAATTTAAAAGACAGATTTATAGAATTGTCTTGTATTAGAATTCATAATTGATTTATGATTTCTTCAAGATTAAGCAAATGTAATGAAAAATCAAACATCATATAATATTATTTTAGACTGAAAGCCAGATCTTTTCACCTAATGTAAACCCCATGCACACAAGGGACCTCCAGACAGGTTCAATACCCGCCAACAAATAAATCATTTTTTTTTTACTTTTCTTTCATTGAAAATGTAAATTCAATTGTATATGTTCAGAATAAAATACTGACAGTTAAAGAATTTTTAAGTGCCCCAAGTTATAGGACCTTGTCCAGCTTTGACTCAAACCCATCCTAACAATAAAAGATTACTGGAAAAAATCCAACTTTATCTAACTTTTGATTTATTTTCCCAGAAGAAAACAGGTGCAGCAGACCTAATGTACTTCAACACTATGTAATGCGTAGGCCATTTTTTTAATACTGTTTTGAGAGCCAATTTAAATCGCCCAACAAACAAGGAATGTGTGAAAATGTGATCAACTACCCCTAACCGGAAACAAAAAGCTACTTTAAATGGTAATTGTTATGGAGCAGCTTTATACATAGTAGCATACTCGTCAATGTACTAATAAAACAACATGAGGTTGTGTGTGTAGCTGTAAATGTGACTAATCAGTGCGATAAATAGAAACTTCTATAAATGGCTAATGTTTTTGGACTGCCATTTCTGCCATGTTCAGGTGTCAACTTATATTTTGCCCATGTAGTTAGACATATAAATATATAAGATCCCGAATATGCGCCTCTAAACAAACTATACACTTTTTCTCTGGTTAAAGTTTTGTCAATTTACCAGCTGCTTACTGGAGTCTTGCTGCTCAATTGGTCCAAGAACTGGTTCATATTTTGATATTTTGTCTTAAACTATGTTAAAATATGTATTTGAAATGTACTGTCTTGTGCAACAAGGCATATTTATTATGATTTTGTCATTTGTAATACTGATGTAGCTACTAATGTCCCTCCTAATATTGCTCCTCTGTTTCCCCTTTAGTTTTCTGAGTCAGACGGTCCACCTGCTGGATGAGGATGACAGTCTGTACTGCATCTCAGCCTGGAACGACCAGGTGAGTCCTGGCTGCTCCACCTGCTCACCCTCTTCCTGCCCCGCCTCTTAAAGCTCCAGCTAAACTCAAATCCACCTCCTTTTTAGCCGGCCCTCATATTAGTTTATGTTCTCAATACATTATTTGCCTGTCTAGTTGAAACAGAGGAAGAATTTATGAAATTGCATCAAAGAAGCATTCTAGCAGTGATGCTTAATAAGTACGTTTTTATATAATTTATTTTTAAGTACAACATTTAGCATTTGACGAATGCATACTAGAAGGCTAAGCTGTACGGACATGAGAACCCCAATGCCTGATTAACAATTTTTTTTCTATTTTGGAAAATGTTCGCAGACAACCTTTGACTTTCATATTCAGGCCAATGAAACAGGGGTTGGCTGTATGCTAGCCTTTCTTTAACGTGAAGGCTATATTCTGGATCAAATATTAGTTTTTTTCCAAATAAACGCTTGCTAATAACTATGGCCATTAGTTACTTAACTGTGTACAAATCTGTAAGGACTTTCCACTGTTTAAAAAATTAAACTTATTTTCTTCCCGCACATTCTGCTTTACACATAGCCCAGTTCAGACAGCCAAAGGCATATTGTGTGTCTCGTTACCTTTTTTCGGCTGCGCAACTGACTTCTGTGCATCTCTGGAGGAGATAGGATTGTTTGGACTCAACAAAAGAACATGTGATGAGGAGATCTATCAGTTCTCTTTTAACCCCAGGGTGTAACTCAACATGATCCACAGTGTAAGGAGACACCACAGGATCTGGTTTTCTTGTTCTGTGCTCCTAAATATAGAACATCAAAGCACTTTATCTTGTTTTTCTCTCCTTTTTTAATGTTCTTTCTGCCTCAATGTGGCCTCATTATATTCCTACCCACTGATTGACCTGCAGGAAGGCTTGATGCCCACAGAGAAGTTGCATAATATGTGACAGCTTTTGTTTTGGTTGTTGTTGTTGTTGTTGTTGTTCAGGGCTATGAACACACAGCAGAAGACCCCGCCCTGCTCTACAGGGTGGAGAGCATGCCCGGCCTGGGCTGGGTGCTAAAGAAGAGCCTCTACAAGGACGAGCTGGAGCCCAAGTGGCCGACCCCTGAGAAGGTGCAAGATTTCTGAACCCCATCCGGTGCTTTTGCATGTTTTCTTCATCTGTTACCAGTTATGGTTCCTTTGAAAATGACTATACTGTATCTCAGTTATTTAGTCAAGGATTAGTGTATTGACGTTTGCAGACAATGTTAGACATAAGTAGATGCTAGGTAATGAAGAAAGTAGAATATTGAGGAGCTAAATAGCCATACGAGCAAACCTGAGCTCAAAGAAAGATGGGGACACTTTTTGAAATGGTCGGAATGTGCATGTAAGGTTTGAATTTTAAGGCGTAAGGAAGCGCAGAAACCACCTGCATTGCCCTTCCATGTGCCTGAGAACTCTCTGTGTGTGTTTTCTCTTGTAGCTGTGGGATTGGGACATGTGGATGCGAATGCCTGAGCAGAGGAAAGGCAGAGAGTGCGTCATCCCCGATGTGTCCCGCTCCTACCATTTTGGAATCATCGGCCTCAACATGAACGGATATTTCCACGTAAGATCTCAGAGAAACGTTATTATATTCCTTTAATTTAAATAATAAAGCTCTATAATATACGTTAAAGCTGTAACCCAGGGTGAAACAATACAGCATTGAAGTCTTGTATAAGGCCATTTATTTTCCTGCTGTCATACTTTTTTTGTAATTGACTTGAATAGTCCTGTAGACAACAACATATTTTGTTGAGACGTGTTTTTGTTTTTTTCTTAATCTTCAAGCTGAAACACTATTTGATGGTCTATAATTAATGTCTATTTCTGTCTCACAGGAGGTGTATTTCAAGAAACACAAGTTCAACACTGTTCCCAACGTGCAACTGAAGAATGTTTACAGGTTTGTAAACTCCGATTTTGAGATTTCTGTTCACTGGTTTTATGCTTTTCATATCATTTTCAGTCCTTTTGTGGAAAAATAATTATGCAACACAGTCACAGTCTTGGTGTTCTTTACAGCTTAAAGAAGGATGCGTATGAAGTGGAGATCCTGAACCTGCTGAAGTGAGTGTGATACACACTGAGCCTGTAGGTGATGTAGATCAGGGGTTCCCAAAGTGGGGGTCGTGACCCCAAGTGGGGGTCGCGAGATGATTACAAAATTAAAATAAATTTTTTTTTAATCAACTTTTTTTTAATCAATTTTTATTCTTTTAATAATAACGTGTGCACAGAAATTTTTCAGGGACGGACTAGCCATCTGTATAATTTCCCCGCAACGAGGTTCCCCTTTTGAAAAGGGGAACCTCGTTGCGGGGAAATTATACAGATGGCTAGTCCGTCCCTGAAAAATTTCTGTGCACACGTTATTATTAAAAGAATAAAAATTGATTANTGTGGTCCAGCACCTCTGCTTCCCTGGACGCACACACACACACACACACACACACACACACACACTCACACACACACACACACACACACACACACACACACACACACACACACACACACACACACACACACACACACACACACACACACACACACACACACACACACTTTAGCCTTCTTAATGTCATCTACATCAGGGGTTCCCAAACTTTTCGGCCCACGACCCCAAAATAACAGTGCCAGAGACTGGCGACCCCCTGTCAACGGGCGTATAAAACAAACAATGGATGTGCTTTATGAACATTTATCCATGCTGAAAGTAGATTTAGATGTGTTAGGAGTGAGGTAGAGATTATTATCAAAACATGAATCCGATGAAGCATTGTATGAAGTCTGTTGATGATCAGAGGCTGTTGTTGGGGCTGCATAAACGTTTTTTTATTTTTGTTTTGTTTTTGGCAGACCATGCAGGCCTCAGAGAGTTAAACTTGGGCCTGCGACTATAGTTTTACTGTATTTTATTTTGAAAATCCACAGCGGAGGTTTGTGTCGTAGAATGCAGTGTATTTTGCATATCTCTCAGTTGCCAACGATCTGTGAGTCTGTTGGCTCGGACATAAACTCCGTAATAAATGTAGTCTACATTTCATAAGAGGCGTAAAACCTGAGAGCATTTTAAATCGCATTTGAACAAAATGCTTATATAATCTGTAGTTGTATTTGTATTGTTGATTTAATGTGTGAACGAGGCGATATAGAGAAGTTTAAGCTGTCATTATTAGACTGTAATTTGTTATATACTGTTGGAGTGATAAGCAGGCCTATTGTTTTTGGATATTTGTAGAGTTAGGTGGTCCGTGAGTGTTTTTTTATTGGTTAAGTGGTCCTTGGCATAAAAAGT